TCCAGACTATCTCCTGGAATAAACTGGAACAAATATCCAAATATCTCAGAATCCTGATCTGTTACTGTCATCCTCAGGAGAATAAAATAGAATAGAACAGAACAGATTAGAATAGAATAGATTCGAATAGAATAGATTAGAACAGAACAGATTAGATTAGAATAGATTAGAACAGAACAGATTAGAATAGATTAGAACAGAACAGATTAGAATAGAATAGATTAGAACAGAACAGATTAGAATAGAATAGATTAGAACAGAACAGATTAGAATAGAATAGATTAGAACAGAACAGATTAGAATAGATTAGAACAGAACAGATTAGAATAGAATAGATTAGAACAGAACAGATTAGAATAGAATAGATTAGAACAGAACAGATTAGAATAGAACAGATTAGAATAGAACAGATTAGAATAGATTAGAACAGAACAGATTAGATTAGAATAGATTAGAATAGAGTAGAACAGAACAGATTAGAATAGAATAGATTAGAACAGAACAGATTAGAATAGATTAGAACAGAACAGATTAGATTAGAATAGATTAGAACAGAACAGATTAGATTAGAATAGATTAGAACAGAACAGATTAGAATAGAATAGATTAGAACAGAACAGATTAGAATAGAACAGATTAGAATAGAACAGATTAGAATAGATTAGAACAGAACAGATTAGAATAGAACAGATTAGAACAGAAGAGATTAGAATACAATAGATTAGAATAGAATAGATTAGAACAGAACAGATTAGAATAGAATAGATTAGAATAGATTAGAATAGAAGAGATTAGAATAGAATAGATTAGAATAGAATAGATTCGAATAGAATAAATTAGAATAGATTAGAACAGAACAGATTAGAATAGAATAGATTAGAACAGAACAGATAAGAATAGATTAGAATAGAATAGAATAGATTAGAATAGAATAGATTAGAATAGAATAGATTAGAATAGATTAGAATAGAAGAGATTAGAATAGAATAGATTCGAATAGAATAAATTAGAATAGATTAGAACAGAACAGATTAGAATAGAATAGATTAGAATAGATTAGAATAGATTAGAACAGAATAGATTAGAATAGATTAGAACAGAAGAGATTAGAATAGAATAGATTAGAATAGAATAGATTAGAATAGAATAAATTAGAATAGAATAGTGTTCTTCCTACTGTGTTTTATGCCTTAAATGCTTCCTGGTTCTTGGATAGATCCACCTGATCCAGAACCTCCGTTCCGTTTGGACCCACTGGTTCTGATTTACTGCTGCTCTCTGCAGCAGAAACCCCATCAGGACGTTTTATGGCCGCTGGGGGGGTGGGGGGGGGGGGGCTATGATTGTGTTTGGAAATAAAGACGCTCTTCTTCAGGATCTCATTATGTTTTAGCTGCTCAGAAGCAGTTTTTACTTTCCAAGCTGCGTCTCAGAACAGAACAGATTAGAATAGAATAGATTAGAACAGAAGAGATTAGAATACAATAGATTAGAATAGAATAGATTAGAACAGAACAGATTAGAATAGAATAGATTAGAATAGAAGAGATTAGAATAGAATAGATTAGAATAGAATAGATTCGAATAGAATAAATTAGAATAGATTAGAACAGAACAGATTAGAATAGAATAGATTAGAATAGAAGAGATTAGAATAGAATAGATTCGAATAGAATAAATTAGAATAGATTAGAACAGAACAGATTAGAATAGAATAGATTAGAACAGAACAGATAAGAATAGATTAGAATAGAATAGAATAGATTAGAACAGAACAGATTAGAATAGAATAGATTAGAATAGATTAGAATAGATTAGAACAGAATAGATTAGAATAGATTAGAACAGAAGAGATTAGAATAGATTAGAATAGAATAGATTAGAACAGAACAGATTAGAATAGATTAGAATAGAATAGATTAGAATAGAATAGATTAGAATAGATTAGAACAGAATAGAACAGAATAGATTAGAACAGAATAGATTAGAATAGATTAGAACAGAAGAGATTAGAATAGATTAGAATAGAATAGATTAGAACAGAATAGATTAGAATAGATTAGAACAGAATAGATTAGAATAGATTAGAACTGAAGAGATTAGAATAGATTCGAATAGAATAGATTAGAACAGAACAGATAAGAATAGATTAGAATAGAATAGAATAGATTAGAACAGAACAGATTAGAATAGAATAGATTAGAATAGATTAGAATAGATTAGAACAGAATAGATTAGAATAGATTAGAACAGAAGAGATTAGAATAGATTAGAATAGAATAGAATAGATTAGAACAGAACAGATTAGAATAGATTAGAATAGAATAGATTAGAATAGAATAGATTAGAATAGATTAGAACAGAATAGAACAGAATAGATTAGAATAGATTAGAACAGAAGAGATTAGAATAGATTAGAATAGAATAGATTAGAACAGAATAGATTAGAATAGATTAGAACAGAATAGATTAGAATAGATTAGAACAGAAGAGATTAGAATAGATTAGAATAGAATAGATTAGAACAGAACAGATAAGAATAGATTAGAATAGAATAGAATAGATTAGAACAGAACAGATTAGAATAGAATAGATTAGAATAGATTAGAATAGATTAGAACAGAATAGATTAGAATAGATTAGAACAGAAGAGATTAGAATAGATTAGAATAGAATAGATTAGAACAGAACAGATTAGAATAGATTAGAATAGAATAGATTAGAATAGAATAGATTAGAATAGATTAGAATAGATTAGAATAGAATAGATTAGAACAGAATAGATTAGAATAGATTAGAACAGAAGAGATTAGAATAGATTAGAATAGAATAGATTAGAACAGAATAGATTAGAACAGAATAGATTAGAATAGATTAGAACAGAAGAGATTAGAATAGATTAGAATAGAATAGATTAGAACAGAACAGATTAGAATAGATTAGAATAGATTAGAATAGAATAGATTAGAATAGATTAGAACAGAATAGATTAGAATAGAATAGAATAGATTAGAATAGATTCGAATAGAATAAATTAGATTAGAATAGATTAGAATAGATTAGAACAGAATAGATTAGAACAGAATAGATTAGAATAGATTAGAACAGAAGAGATTAAAATAGATTAGAATAGAATAGATTAGAACAGAACAGATTAGAATAGATTAGAATAGAATAGAATAGATTAGAATAGATTAGAATAGATTAGAACAGAATAGATTAGAATAGAATAGATTAGAATAGAATAGATTAGAATAGAATAAATTAGAATAGAATAGTGTTCTTCCTACTGTGTTTTATGCCTTAAATGCTTCCTGGTTCTTGGATAGATCCACCTGATCCAGAACCTCCGTTCCGTTTGGACCCACTGGTTCTGATTTACTGCTGCTCTCTGCAGCAGAAACCCCATCAGGACGTTTTATGGCCGCTGGGGGGGTGGGGGGGGGGCTCTGATTGTGTTTGGAAATAAAGACGCTCTTCTTCAGGATCTCATTATGTTTTAGCTGCTCAGAAGCAGTTTTTACTTTCCAAGCTGCGTCTCATTAGTTTAATCACTGAGGCTGAAGAAAACTAAACTAGTCTGGATCAGTTAGAAGAACCGTGACCCGCTGCCCACACAGACTGTAACTCTATAAGAGGGTCTGCTACCTTTGGGTTTGGAGGATAAAATCTTTTTCTTTAAAAATAATCATTTAATGAATTTAGTGTTAATCTGTTAAAAACAAAAAAATAACAATAATTTTTGTTGCGATCACTGAGTCTGGGAGCGGCCATTTTTGCCCAAATATAGTAGCCCCTCCCTCCTGCCATCTTCCAGCAGTGACGTCACGGTGCGGTAAGCCTAGCGCCATTCTCCCCGCTTTCCAAGCTAAATCAATGGGAACTACTAGACACATCTGCAATCAACAACAATTATTGAAGATTTCCAGAGGACTTCACCATTGAAATTCACCAGAGCTATAGTGAAACTGACAATGCCCACGTGCATGGCAGCTGGATGCTGGAATACATCGGGTAAAAAGGAAAAAAAGAGTGAAACCTTGAAAACTCGCGAGATCAGGATGGTCTCACGAGGCTAGCCAGGTCCAGGTTCTGACCCAAAAATACATTGATGTTACCATGGAGACCAGTGGATGCAGCCTGGTGGAGATCAGGAGACATAACAGGTTCTGCTGGGGAGGAGATAGATGGTCTCCTTGGAGGTGCAGAGCTGCCAACATCTCAACACTCAGATGTCCATCAGAATAAACCAAAGAAAATAATCCAGATTTATCTGCTTCTTATGATTGTCCAGCTGATTATAGCAAAGACTGAGGCTTCCTGACCCGAAACAGAACTTCTACTGAACATGAAGAACTTGGTGAACTCAGAACCCAAAAGTTTCTGATCCTGGATGAAACTCCACAAACAGATCAGCCGCTCATCATCAAACCCATCTCCAGAAATAGCAGCAGGTCTAAGAGCTGAAGGTGGAGATGTGAGGATTAGCAGCTCAGATGAGCCTGAAGCTCTGAGTTAATCCGCAGCAGCAGGTGGATGAGCGGAGAGCCGCACCTCAGCAGCCTCAGATCTGCTCCACCGTCCCGCGCTGATCCCTACTCTACAGTTTAGATCCTCGCTGCTGTGCAGTTTTATCTGCAGATTATGAATATTTCAGAAACTAACTGGAAGTTGTAGTTAATTAACAGGTCATTCAAATCAATGATTATTAGTTAGATTATTACTGAAAGCCCTTTAGTTTGGATTCCTGAACTGACTGTTAGAATTCAGTTGTCTTTCAGCAATGCTGTACAGTAATATTTGACTGGATGATCTGGTGAACTGGAAAGTGCCCTGAGATGATGTGTTGTGAATTGGCGCTATAGAAATAAACTGAATAGAATTGGATCGGAACTACAGACAGACCCAATGAAGGTTATTTGCTCCTCTGAACAGGTTCTAATGGAGCCAGTCCAGCACAGAGCCTGTTTGGTTCCTGACGTTGTGTTTTGCTGCTGCAGGTACGGTGACATGGTTCCAAGCACCATCGCAGGGAAGATCTTTGGTTCCATCTGCTCTCTCAGCGGCGTGCTGGTGATCGCCCTCCCAGTGCCGGTCATCGTGTCCAACTTCAGCCGGATCTACCACCAGAACCAGAGAGCTGACAAGATGAGAGCCCAGCAGGTCTGCATGCGTCTCTGTTTTCAGACACACCTGGACCGGACTTTATGGGAAAAGTCAGATCAGCAAGGAATAATCAAAGGATCATTATTTATACCTAAAACTAATAGTTTGCTGTGATTTAATGAATTTAGCGTTAATCACTAAAGAAATAAAATCATACTTTTCATCGCGATCACAGAGTCTGGGAGCGGCCATTTTTGCCCAAATATAGTAACCTCTCCCTCCTGCCATCTTCCAGCAGTGACGTCACGGTGCGGTAAGCCTAGCGCCATTCTCCCCGCTTTCCAAGCTAAATCTATGGGAACTACTAGACCCAAAATTTAGAAAATTTATATATATATATATTTTTTGTCATTATCTTCTGCAGGCCAGTTAGTTCTTCGTCAGCCTGAACACCTAAATTCGGCCAATCATATATCAACAGTCATCTGTCAATCAAATGTTTTCGGTCATAGCATCTTGATTCATATGTCGCAGCTAATATACGCAACGGTTGAAATCAGAATCCTTTCCTTTCCCATTGAGTTGCGTCCCAGTGTTCACGGGGATGGACGTCTGTGTCTTCGGCAGGCGTAGAGCTAACAGAACTGGCAGCGTTGCGAGGCAAGGGCTCAAACATGTACGGCTGGAAGCCTTCTACACCAAACCAAGCTTCTGCCGCCCTGGCGTGCTCTTCCACAACATCTTCGTCCCCGCTTTCCTCCTCTAAATAAAAAATGGATGACGGAGGAGACTCATCCACGACCTCCGACACTAAACTCTCCTCCTCTTGCATGTTTCCGCTGTCCAAAGCGTTCCTTGACAGCGTCGTTTCTAAGGCACCAATTTAGTGCTACTTGGTCCCAATGGAATTTCCCATTGGGAACCTGCTAGCACTAAGTTGCTAACTGGTTAGCAAGATGACAAAGATGGATGCCTCCAGTTAAGCACATTTAAATGAAAATTTAAAAAACACTTATCATTTATTGAACAGTATGTAATAATTTAATATTTAAAGTTCTTTCAAAAGTTTGGATTCTGAATATTAGCGGACTTTTCCTTTAAAACTGGAACCAGTGGTCTAAACCAAAGTTAGCTTAGCTAGGAGGCTGCAGCTTTCTTAGTTTTCAGTTCAGGGTCAGTCAGGTCAGGTCAGAGGGGGGCTGATAGTGAAAGGAAGTCAGAAGATCCTCAATAAGGATTCAAAGCATCAAGGTGTGTCGGTGTTTGTTGACGCTGTTGTTTTCCTGTGTTTCCATTCACAGAAAGTGCGTTTGGCTCGAATCCGAATGGCGAAAAAAGGAACGACCAACGCCTTCCTCCAGTACAAAGAGGACCACACTGTTGGAGTGAGACACACACACACACGCATGTTTGTTCTGCTGTATGTAGTGGGGACCATGTGTTTTCAGTCATTTTTAATCCTTTCTATAACCTGACTCCTCCAGATGGATTTGCTCCGCATATCCATCTGGAAACCTTCCGTTGAAGTAATTTTGGGAAGGGGCGAAAATACTGGCTAGCTGATTGGCCTATGTTGGTGATAGACGGGCCAAATAAACCAATCAGATCAACGAAGCATATGACGTACTAACAGAGCGACGACGAAGAGGAGCCAATTGATAGATCAAACTCTTGCCGAAACCAGTCGGGAGAAGAGCAAAAACATCTTTTCCTCTGAGAAAAGCCTCCAGAGCAGTGTTTTGCTCTTCTTTCAGTGAAGAAATACTCTGTAATTCCGATAAAACTTGCTCGATAGCCACACTAACGCTAGTTTCATCGGCTGAAGCCGCCATGTTCGCGCTTCTCGTTGCGTCACACCTCAACCCGCCTCAAAGCCAACGCTGATTGGACGTTCGTTTGGTGAACGGCTCCAAATTTTCTTCAACGGAGAGTCTCCAGACTGATCTGCGAGTGAAACCTTGAAAGCTCGCGAGATCAGGATGGTTTCACGAGGCTATCCTTTCTATTCCCTAACTCTAAAACTAACCCTAACCATTAGCAAAATAGCTTGCGAGGAACAGCAAAACAACTGGTCCTCATTGCGATGGTGAAATTGGAAAAATGGTCCTCACTCTGACGCCCCCCCACCAACACACACACACCCCGACAGTAAAATAAGGCCTGAGAAAGACATGCAGCTCTAGGAATAACATTAGATGATACGGAGCTAAATGAAGGCCATGAAGTTTGTTCTACAAAATAGCTTGAAATTTCCTTTTGAAAATGAAAAAAAAGAAATAATAATCAAATAAATTTAAATAGACTAAAAGTGCTGCTCGAATGCGTCAGCATCATAATTCCCCCAAATATATTTCTTTTAAAATAAACTGCATAGATCAGTGAAGAAGGATATTTAATAACTAGTCCCATAAACATTAAACACCAACGGCGTTTCTAAAAACGATTTTATTTCTCAACAGATGCATCAGAATATATTTGTCCAGGAAGTTAAGCTTTCACTCATCCTCAGTTTATTTTAAATATTTACTCTTAAAATCTCTCCAGCCTTCGGTGTCATCCTCCCTTTTTCTTTTCTTTTTTCTGTGCGCCGACCTTCTGAAAACCTGACGGTCTTAGTTAGCCGTCGTTGTCCTGGTCAAACCATTTTATGTTCAGGTGGGGGGAGTTCTAAAGGCCCTTTATTTAAAGAAAACATATTACATATAACTAAAACACATATATGTATATATTTAGATACTTTAATATTTTTATCACAAATATTTTCTGAAAAATTACTTGACATTTACTTGTCAATTTTGGACCCCTCTATCCTGGGCTTGGGGACAAATGACCCCTTTGTCGCCCCCTGTGGTCAGGTGTGGAAACAGCAACCATTTCTGCTGAACGCTTTTCTCCTCAGGTCGTCTGAAAGCTGCTAATAATAATGAATTTTATTTGTAACGCACTTTACATTTGAATTCAAATCTGAAAGTGCTAAAATTCAAAAAGGGAAAATTAAAACAAAGGTTAAAAGACCATAACATTAAAAACAGAGTAAAAAGACGATCATTAAAATCAATACATCTGAAGGCAAATGTAGCCTATAAAAAAAATTAGCTGCTTTACACAAAGCTGCTGTTGGATCGTCACATCTTCTAGATGTGATGCTAACTTTGCTGAGTCATCCATGGTTGGTTTATAACAAGGGAGTGAAGTGATTATGGACCTCACTATAAATAATTAAGGAGCTGCAAAGTAAAGCAAACATGAACAAACAATAATGTCTAAGAATTTTATATGAAGTTTTGATGCCAAAATAACATTTTTTGAAAAAAGTTTCTCTATAATTTTGCCCCATTAAGGTCCTGAGATGATCAGGACCATCCTCCTGGTAGTTCTGGCTTTGCAGAGATTATTTTTTTTCCAATATTGATCAATAAAACTAAAAAGGAAAGCGTCTGTAGGTGCTGAACAGGGTTCAGGCCTTCAGAGGGGATGTCCATGTGCTGCAGAACCTCCCAGCTTTCAGCTGATTAGATGTTAAAGACTCGATGAGGCCCACTCTCACCTCCCAGCTTCGTCATGTTTCAGGCAGACGGATTAAAGGTTTCACAGGAGCGGCTTTTAGCTTTACCTAAGCCTGATGGAGCTAACTGCCAGGTCCAAATCCACCGTTAGTGCCGAGCGGGAACCAAGGATTTAAAAGGAGCTTAAAGAGATAGAGGAACAGGAGGATTCATGCAGTGAAGATATTTTATTCTGATATTATTTCATCATCCCACAGTGGGGAAATTTAAAGGTCAGAGACAGAGAGAGACAGTCTTAGCTTTGAAACCGTAACCAGTAACGCCGACCAACGATAAGACAAACCTGGAACATCATTAACATCAACCTGAAGCTTTTTTTTTTATTTATTAAACAAGAACGAATCTCTGTCCCTCTTTAACCATAAATGTCTGGTACAGAGCCCACTAAAGGCCCCCAGGGGCCACACCCACTTTAACCTTCTGACAAAGTAGGTCCCTTTTAAAACAATTCTCTAATATAATTTTTCTTCTTTAAAAACTACATTTTGTTTTTAAACTACGGAAGAGGATTAGGGCCACTGAAAAAAAAAAAGTTAACTGATTTTTAAATTTTATTTCAGTTTAACATGGGAAAAAAGTCAGAATTCTGACTTTTTTCTCAGAATTCTGACTTTTTTCCCATACTAAACTGAAATAAAATTTAAAATCAGTTAACTTTTCTTTTTTTTTTCCACTGGCCCTAATCCTCTTCCGTATAAAACACATTAAACATGATGGATATAATTTAAGGATTTAGCAAACATGCCGGAATCCTCTGGAAAAATGCTTCAACGGGTATATTGCTCCACCCTTCATGGTTGGTATCCATGGAAACAACAGAGTCGTATCTTAATGAAACCTATTGTACATCATTGTTAGATGTTGTCAGCTGTTTGTGTGTAACACGTTTTTAAAAGTAAAAGTCAATTTCATAAACCATGTGCTTTACTTTTAGCTTTAGGCCCCTTTAGCAAAATATTAGCTTTAACCACCGTTAGACTTACGCACCGTTAGCTTCAACTAATGTTAGTTTTACACATCGTTAGCTTTACGCAATGTTACCTTTATGCACCATTACCCTCACGCACCGTTAGCTTTTGACAATGTTAGCTTTCTGCGCTGTTAACACAATGTTAGCTTTACGCACTGTTAGCTTTAGAGAATGTTAGCTTTACGCACCGTTAGCTTTCCTACACGATGTTAGCTTTACACAAAGTTAGCCTTACAGACTGTTAGCCTTGTGCGCGTTAAGCTTTATACAATGTGAGCTTTACTCACCGTTAGCTTTATACAATGTTAGCTTTTGCACCATTAGCCTTATGCACTGTTAGCTTTTCACAATGTTATCTTTACACAATGTAATCTTTACCAATTGTTAGCTTTGCACAATGTTAGCTTTACGCACCGTTAGCTTTACACAATGTTAGCCTTAGCCACCATTAGCTTTAGGTAATGTTAGCTTTGTGCACGATTAGCTATGTGCATGGTTAGCTTTACACACCAATAGCCTTACACACCGTTAGCTTTGCACAATGTGAGCTTTACACATTGTTAGCTTTGCACAATGACGTCATACACACTCCGCTTTGCTTTAAAAAATTATAAATATAAAAAATCTAACGGCGGATGTCTGGGGGACAGTGATTTGCCTACATGTTATGAATGCTGGCGTTCCATAAAGAATAAATGATGAACAGTTTGTCATGTTTGGTTTAAGGTGTCTAACCCAGATGCAGAACACTCAGAGGCAGGAGAAAAGTTCAAAGATTTGAACCCAATAAATGAACAGGTCCAGAGGGGAACTCGTTTGGTCACGAGTGGGTTCTGAAAAGCACACAGAAAAATCAGATCTAGGACGGGTCACGAGTGGGTTCACTGCAGAGGGGGACAGAGGAGTTAGTGGAGGTCCAGGTAATTTGCAGGATGAGAGTGTGCAGGGCTGTACCTGTTCTGGAGTTGAGCAGAGCTGCAGAGGGGGGGAACCTTGAGGGTCCAGAGGCTGTCGGCAGGCTGAGGGCAAAGGCGGAGGCAGAGCTTAATTTGAGTGCAGGCAGATCACAGATTTGAGTTTCCTTCCAGTGTCTTCTGAGAGCGGGCAGGCAGATCTTTGACAAGAATAATTCTCCAGAGTACTTCTGAGAATGGACAGGCAGATCACCGGCAGAGAAACTCTTCAGGGTTTCAGGTTTCAGGCAGGTTCAATCTAGGAAGCAGAGAGCAGAAAACAGATCAGGTTCAGGTTTTCAGGGAGTCAGAGGTTCAGACAGGCTGGTTGGCTCAGGCTTGTAACCGTTACTGGCAAACACTCTGGCACTGGAGAGAAGTCCTCTGCCTCCTTAAATACAGATCTCCTGATGAGCAGATGAGCGACAGGTGGTGCAATCAGCTCCGGCTCCAGGAGATCTAGTACGCCCTCTGGTGGAGAAAGTGGACAGACCTCCAGATCCCAACACAGTTTAGTTTGTTCCTTCAAGTCGTTGCCCATAGGAAGACGTTACTGGATATAACCTAACGGAATATCTTCAGAACGGCTCCAAATGACACTAAACTCATATGGGTGATAGAACATGATGCAATAACGTAAAATCAAGGGCCCAATGGTTTACATTAACCAAAAAATAGTTTGATCTGAGTGAAGCACAGAGGAGGAAGATCACAGTCGTTTCCTTAGGGTTTAGTTACACTATCAACCCATTAAAGACATCAAATCATATAAATAAGATTTGCCTTTGAGTAGGATAAACTCAAAAATGAGGAAAATGCACCACTGGGGTAAAAAACACTTATTCCATTAGCAAACTGTCTCACTTACCTACTCAAAATAAGGGTAAATACACTTAATTTAAGACATTTTTACTTCTGTTTAGATTGATTTTCCAGTGTAGCTTCAATGTGATATTCTGATCTTTGATTCCTTCAGGATCAGCTTTCCTCTTCATACCGAACGACTTTACTTCAGAAATCAGCAAAATAAACATTAACACTAGCAGCAAACATCAGGAGTGTTTTTCTCTGCATCGGCTCAGTGGGTTGGAAGCCTGCAGGTACAATGATTGCACCTGATGAGGACATAAGCTGCTACCCCGACCTTCTAGTTTACACCGTGTCTCCTAAGGCTGAGCCTCTTTCTGTGAAATTAAACCAAATCAAAGGACTCCAGTAACTAATGAATCATACTTCCTGGATTTCACTGAGAATTGTTCTGTTTTTCAGGACAGAGACAGCGACAGCACGGCCCTGTGTGTGAAGAACAGATCGGCGTTTGAACATCAGCACCACCACCTGCTGCACTGTCTGGAGAAGACCACGGTGAGGCTGGGACCAATGCTGCCACTCTGTAGATAGGCCTGGGGGGGAACTGGGGCAGTGGGGTTCATAGGATACCTGGAGAGTTGTTGCTTTGAACTGTTCAATTTCTATTATTCTTTCACATTTCATTCTGTTTGCTAAAATTAAGATAAATAGCTAAATGTTACATCTAACTACATCACACATCTAATATCTCTATATCTGATCTATATATTCATATAAATCTTTCTATTTAAATGTTTAAAGAAATCTCACATTTAAATCTTAAGAAGTTTTGCTAATCGACCACGTCCCTTTAACATCTCTACTAGCGCTGACGCCGGGCATGCACGGTACGATTTATTTTCAATCGTTGCACCCCCACCATGCTGCTGGGTTTACATCTGAGAGGAAGAAGAAGAAGAAGAATCCTTGTTTGCCCACTGAGCGATTTGCCCACGACCACCTTACGACGGCCGACTGAATTTCAAACATGTTTGATTTTCTCCCGACCTTCTGATTCCTGATGGGGAGGTGGTCGTTAGAGGCTGATCGCCCCTTGTTACCCCCGTACACTACACCACGCACCATCAGGCTGAAAGTCGGCCCCATCCAAACATTTTCGCAATCGATGCGAAAAGGCCAAAACATCGTACAGTGCACGCCCGGCTTTACTGGAACACTGATAAAAAGAGGTGGCATGTTCTGAAGGTTGACGCCCACCTCCCCTTCTCATTGGTGTTCCTATTTTTGGGGGCGTGGCTACAAGTTCAGCTTTTATCCAGCATGTCTTCAAAAGATTTAGATTCACCATTTTAATTAAATATATTTAGTTTTAGTTTTTTTTATTTTAGTTTTGATAAAAGTATGGTAAATTATAATATGGTAAAAATTATTATTTAAATATAAAAAAGAAAAAAAAATATATATATATATATTTAGATCTTTTATTTTATTTTTTATAAAAGTATGGTAAATTATAATATGGTAAAAAATTATTATTTAAATATAAAAAAGAAAAAATATATATATATATATATATTTAGATCTTTTATTTTATTTTTTATAAAAGTATGGTAAATTATAATATGGTAAAAAAAAATATTATTTAAATATAAAAAAGAAAAAAATATATATATATTTTTAGATTTGAAAAAAATTAAGATTTACATGTAGAATTAGTTTTAGATATAAGATTTAGAATATAGATTTTGATTTAAAATTAAGGTATAAGACATATTTAGACTTAAGTATCATATTAAAAAAACAGATTAATATCTAAGGTATATATATTTAAATTAAAATTTCGTTTCACTGCTATATTTTGATTTAGATTTAATGTTTGGATTAAACAAATAGATTTTAAGTTTAACCACACCCCTTTAACGTCCCCACTTAGACTTAAGATCGTAGATATATATTTATATTAAAAATGTATATTTAAGATAGAGGTAAGGCTTTTAAGATATATATTTAAATCAAAAATGATGCTTTTAAAATTATATTCATATTTAGGCTTCACTTTTAAATGTAACATTTGAAATTAAGATTTACGATTAGATCTTAATTTAGATATAAGATATAGATTTTGGATTAAGATTTATATTTACAATTAAGATTGAAAGAGAAGATATAGATTTCAATAGAAAATGAAGATATACAGCTCTTATATGTAGCTATAGGCTGTAGAAATAGATTGAATATACAAATTGAAATTTTTAGATTAAAATTAAACATTTTGCCACTAAACTTTAAACAAACATTCAATCTAATTCAGTTTATTTCTATAGCTCCAATTCACATCATGTCATCTCAGGTCACTTTCCAGTTCACCAGATCATCCAGTCAGATTGATTCAAAGTTTTCTATCTAAGGAAAACCAGCTGATTGCATCGACTCATTGACTCTTCAGCAATCCCTCACATGTATACATGTTAAATGTATGTATTGGGGGGGCCTGTAGTCCTTGGCCCTGACCTCTGTTGCCGTTTGCAGTCAGATATCCAGAATGTGCGAATGTAGTGTGAAGCACTCTGGATTCCCAGGACTTTACCAGCAGAGGCCATCAACCATAACGGAGGATTAATGTCTGTTTTTTTTCTCCATCCTTCCTCACAGAACCACGAGTTCACCGACGAGATGAACTACAGCGAGCTCTGTATGACCGAGTCGGTGGGCTTCAGGACCAGCCGCAGCACCTCCCTCTCCAGCCAACAGGGGGCGCAAAACAACTCCACAGGATGCTGCCCCCACCGGGTCCGGAGGAGAGCCGCCATGCGACTGGCGAACTCCACGGTGTCTGTGAGCCGCGGAAGCGTCCAGGAACTGGACACCCTGCAGTTTAAAACCACTACCATACCGCACCAAACGTAAATACCCTCTAGAAACACGAACGATACAAGAATGAACCAACTCTGCTGATCAAAATCCTCACACCAGTGAAAAAACATGGAGGAATTAGCTTCTGCGGTGTTGGATCTTTAGAAGGTTCAGGATACAGCTTCACATTTGTTGAGAAGAACAAAAGGCTGTTCATCGGTAAATCAAATGTTTAAAGAAAAGTCCAGTCAGCAGGAATAAACAATGGATCATTATTTATACCTAAAACTAACACGTTTGAAGTTATTTAATGAATTTAGCATTAATCAGTAGTTAATCAGACTTTCAAAATCGTTCCCAAACCTTCCCAACCCTTCCAGGACCTTCCAAAACCTTCCCAAAACCATCTCATACCTTCCCAGACCTTCTCAAACTTTCCAAAACCTTCCTAGACATTCCCAAACCTTCCAAGACCTTCCCAGACCTTCCAAATCATTCCCAAACCTTCCAAAACCTTCCCAGACCTGCCGAATCCTTCCCAAACCTTCCCAATCCTTCCTAAAACCATCTCATACCTTCCCAGATGTTCCCAAACCTTCCAAATACTTCCCAAACCTTCCAAAACATCCCCAGACCTTCCCAAACCTTCCAAATAGTTCCCAAACCTTCCAAATCATTCCCAAACCTTCCAAAACCTTCCCAGACCTGCCGAATCCTTCCCAAACCTTCCCAATCCTTCCTAAAACCATCTCATACCTTCCCAGACGTTCCCAAACCTTCCAAATACTTCCCAAACCTTCCAAAACATCCCCAGACCTTCCCAAACCTTCCAAATAGTTCCCAAACCTTCCAAAACATTCCCAGACCTTCTCAAACCTTCCAAAACCTTCCCATACCTTCCAAAAGCTTCCCAGACCTTCCCAGACCTTCCAAAAACCTTCCTAGACCTTCCCAGACATTCCCAAACCTTCCAAGACGTTCCGAGACCTTCCAAACCATTCCCAAACCTTCCAAAACCTTCCCAGACCTGCCCATTCCTTCCCAAACCTTCCCAGTCCTTCCAAAAATGATCTCATACCTTACCAGACCTTCCAAATTGTCCCCAAACCTTCCAAAACATTCCCAGACCTTCTCAAACCTTCCAAAATCTTCCTATACCTTCCCAGACATTACCAAACCTTCCAAGACCTTCCCAAACCTTCCAAAACATTCCCAGACCTTCCCAATCCTTCCCAAAATGATCTTATACCTTCCCAGGCCTTCCCAAACCTACCAAATAGTTCCCAAACCTTCCAAAACATTCCCAGACCTTACGAAACCTTCCAAAACATTCCCAGACCTTCCAAAACCTTCCCAGACATTCCCAAACCTTCCAAGACCTTCCCAGACCTTCCAAATCATTCTCAAACCTTCCCAGACCTGCCGAATCCTTCCCAAACCTTCCCAACCCTTCCAAGACCTTCCCAATCCTTCCCAAAATGATCTCATACCTTCCCAGGCCTTCCCAAACCTTCCAAAACCTTCCCATGCCTTACGAAACCTTCCAAAACCTTCCCAAACCTTCCCAGATCTTCCCAAACCTTCCAGAGGTTGAGCCCAGAGGTCTGTTGGCGGTCGGTCATATCTGTTAGGCTGCAGGACTCTGGTTTGGCCCAAAGACCCAGCAGATCTGTTAAACCTGCACTAAATCTGTCAGAAGGTCGAACTTCCTGACTCTGGTCTCTGTCTGTTTCTCTCTCTCAGTCGATCCAGTCTGAACGCCCAGCCTGACGACCTGAAGCTGAACTGTGGCGAGCAGGATTTCACCGCCGCCATCATCAGCATCCCCACTCCTCCCGCCAATACGCCGGATGAAAGTCTCCCGCCATCGCCGGCCCCCATCCCCGGCATCCTGCGGAACACCCAGGCCACCGCCTACACCCACGAAAGCTTCAAAATCTCCTCCTTATAACCTTTGACTCCTCCTCCCCTGATTCAGAGCCCCTTCAATAATCCTCCCCCCTCCGTACCTCTGATCCCGGATCTGGGGAACCACAGGCGAACAGTTGAGACCACTCTGATGGATCCTGGAGCTGCTGGAAGTTCAGAATGAGCGCAGAAAAGAAGTGAACGCTGCAGAACCGTTGGAGAAAGACTCGTACCGGGAAGAGGTTTGGGTAGGAGGAGGTTCCTCTGCTTTTCACACACAGTTCATCCTTAGAGGTCTTGGTTTGGTACCGATCCGGGGCTGGATCACCCTGGACTGTCGGGAACCAGCTGCTGCTTTGGTTTCTTCTAGATTCTTCCCAATTCTTTGTTTAAACAGGAAAATAGCTGCTCAAGTCTTCGATTTTCCTGCCTCCTGCTACAAGCTGAGCAGTGTTTAAGTCAGATGGAAAGATGAATCCTCAGGATTTCCAGCATTTTTGGAATATCTCCTTATTGACCTGAATGATTTGGCCAGTTGGTTCTGAAGGAAAAAAAAAACTCTCAGGAACCAGCTGCTCCTCAAACCGACGGACCTGAACCGAACTGAGCTCATTCCGTCCCTCTGCAGCAGAATCATCTGAACTTACTGAAGGGCCTTTGGATGGTATCAACAGGCTCCAATCCGAACTGCTCCGGTCCGGCTGTAGCTCAGAAGTGTTCGATCCGGACCAGGGAGCTTCTACTCTCTAAAATATGCAACGTTAGGAAACCAGAACCTCATCAGGAACAGTTTAAGTCTCCAGTGATCGCTGCAGGGAACAAACCGACACGGGGAGGAAATGTTTTCACCGAGAGGAAACGACTGAAGCTCCTCAGCTGAAGGTCCCGTTGATCCGGTGGACGTGTGCTTTCCTGCCACGACTTCGAGACAAAACAAAACTAAATCTCCTTCTACTGAATCCAACCAGACTTACCTGCCTAAACCAATCAGCTGGTTCTGCTTTATTAAAGATGGCCGACGCTTCCTAAGAAACCAGTGATCCCAAAGTGTCCAAGCGTCCACCCTAACCCCTACATCATATATACTAGTGAGGACCATATAGTGGACTTCATAGTGAAGTCAGTTAAACAACAGTTTGGACAGATGATCACTACTTTTCGCTCCTGTAGGTCATGTGACTCCCTCTGCCCGTACGGCGCCTGCGACATCTGTTGTTCTTTCTCACTGCCACGACAAATCCAATAATGCTTTGCGAGGAGAGCTTTCGCAAAGCATTCTGGGATATATCTGCTGGTCTAATGACTAGTATTACCCCAATACCAGATACCTGGCTGTGCAGTATCGTTAGCCTGACGTAGTCCTACTCAACTCTAGTCAGAATATGAGTCTGATGCTGCTCCATAGAGCTGTGATTATGGGGCGTGTTTCGAACGAACCAGGAAAAAAATGCCTCTGCACTAGATTGGATAGACCTACAACCAATAAGAGCAACGGAGTGCGTGACGTATGTTAAGCGACGCATAGTTGTTGTCAACAAAAATCAAAGCGTGCAGTTGGACGCCTAGAATAAAAAGATGAGCCTTGATCGCGTTTCTCTGTTCCTCTTTTAAAATTAATTTGCTGTCGATATCTTCTAGAACAGACCTAATACAGAATCTACTCACCTCAACTCTCCAGCGGCAGCCATTGTTGTTGTCACCCAAGCGCACTTTGGTCACGTGGTTGATTACGTTACTGTTGATCATCTGTCCATCATCGTATAAAGCCTGCCCTGACAATTTGATTGGCCCGCCAGATATTGTGCGAGCATACTCGCGCTACTATTGAACAATGCCAGACCGAACTTCCCGACCTCAAACGTTGGGGGCGGGACTAAGTTCGGAATGGCACCCAGGCTACAGTATCGTGTGTCTATATGAAGAAGTGCCAGTGGTGTCAAAAATACACACATTTGTTACTGAAGTAGAAGCATAGATACTGCAGTTTAAAAACACTAAATATAAAAGTTGAAGTCTAAAGTTGAAGAATCAACTTGACCTCTTTACTCAAGTAAACGTGAAAAAGTATGTGCTCCAAATACTACTTTAAGTTTTTATTCCTACCTGGAATGGGTGAAAATAGTTGAAGAAACTTTAGGCTCTCAAAATGGTATCAGTGCCCTGTTGGTTGGTACTCGCCGATACCGATACCACCATTTTAGTGCTGGATCGGAGCTCCGCCTGATACTGGTGCAACACTACTAATGACCATGGATGATTGTTACTTTTGAAGGTGCATTGTGGGAAGTTTTGAGTGCACTACTTTTTCATTCACTAGAGATTTGGACAGCCATCTAAAATGGCGTAACCACCATGTAAGCGCCATATTTGGGGGTTAGGGTGGACGTTCGGACACATCCCTGGTGATCTCACCCTGCAGCTCTGGAATTGGTTCTGCCTTCCTCTTTAGAGGTCCAGATTCGGTTTGGTAGTGTACAGCGCCACCTGCAGACCATTTTGGTGGGAAAAGGTGCCTCTTTGGAGGGCTGGTTTTATAGGAAGCACGGCGCTATGGTCCGATGTATTCCGGGTCCAGAGAGACCAGATAACTTCCTTCAGATCTGAAGACTGATTCGTTTCTTCACAGTTCCAGATCATCTGAATCAGAAGCACTTTTAGCAGCAATAAATGAAGAGCTTGTTTGGTAACAGAGGAGCCCATTTATCTCTGGAGGCGTTCTGACCAATCAGCCTCATTTTGGCCCCATCAGGCTTCCCAAGTCTCCAGATCCAGGCAGGAAAGTTCTCGTCCTTTGATCCCATGAGACCTGAGCTGACCCGAGTTCCTCCATCGACTGTGAGACAGAGACCAGACTGACGCACTGTAACATATTTTGTATCATAAACGATCTCTGCATCTTCTGGAACAAACAGACCAAAAAAAGGCGTAAAAGGTTAGATGGAAGGCGTCGGGTTCTGCCTGACGTTCCTCCCTGCATGAGCCTCGTACCATAGAAGTAGCACTGCTGAACATTAATCTACCTTATCTGAGAATAAGAGAAAAAAAAAACACAGCGGGAAGAAAATCTCATCTGTTGATTTGCATGATGCTGTCGGTTCTGTTGACGTTTTCCTCCTTCCTGTATCCTTCCTTTCTCTGTCCCTCCTTTCTTCATCTTTCCTCCATCCCTCCGTCCGTATTCTATCTTCCCTCCTCTATCTCTTCTTCCTCTGTCCCTCCCTCCTCCCTTTCTTTGTTAAAACTTTTCAGGATGAGGTTTTGCTCCACTGAGGAGAAATTAAGCAGATTATCCAAAAGAGTCTCTGATTCAGGCATGCTCCTCCAGGATGTGTGGGTGTGTGTGGTGAGCAGTCACAATAATGCATGGATACCGTTGTAGGTATTTTACCTGTTTTCTCCTGCAGAGGCGTGAAGAGAGACGAGACTGAACTCAGACAGGAGGCTGTTCATCTCAGAATCATCTCTGCAGGTTCGGGTTCTGCTTCCAGACCCAAACCCAAGCGGCACAAACGCCCAGCGAAGCCTTTAGAGTCCAGATGCATCAAGATTTATGAAAATCCGGCTCAGATTGAAATGAGTAGAATAATATTGGCAAAGGAAATGGTTAAAAAAAGCTGAATTCATTTATAGAAACATTGGAAAACATAAAAATTATCAAATGAAACAGAAATAAATGAAAGCTTAAAGAAATTAAATATGATCCTATTTGTTGCCACAAAATGGGGAAAATCAGGAGAAAAAAATTGGAAGAAAGCTTTAATGTTTGCTCCAGTTATTTATAAAAAAAAAGGCTTGTTTGGGTGAAAATGAACGTTTAAACAAATAAAAAGGCTTTAAACCTGTTTTCATATTTGTTAGAAGGTTCCGTCATGATCAGCTGTAACCATCTCAGACGTTTTCCAGCTTTATTCTAACAAACAAACTGAATTGATTTTATTTTCTTACAGTTTTCAGATGTTTTGCTTTGAAAAGTCACTGAAGTTTATCTGGAGCTTTGACCTAACAGGTGACCTTCTGTCACCTCAGTCTGACTCTGAGCTGGCAGACCATGATGATGATGATGATAAAGTTCAGTCTCTGTGTGGATGAAGGGTGGTAAAAGAATGAAGGAGAAAACAGCTTTAAAGCACAAAGCTGTATATTCCATTCCACTAATAAAGAGCAACAGAAACTGAAGGTGTCTGCTGGACTTCTTTCTAACTCATCAGCTCCCCCTGCTGGTCACACCCCAAACAACAGCGAGCAGGAGGAGGAAAAGCTGGAGAAATGCTGCCATCTAGTGACCAGCAGATAGAACAGCCGCATTGGGACTCAAACACAAAGCTGTCCTTGGAAAACCTTAAACTTTAAAGTTAAATTGGGTTAATGTCCATATTTATCTACAGTTATAACAAATATTATTTGTTATGAGAATGATACATTATTTTAAAAACCATTAGAAGTGGATAGTAATGTATAATTATATTTTAAGCATTATTGTTATAAGTTATAGTAGGAGGTAATCTTAGCAGAGGTTCAATTCAATTCATTTTATTTCTATAGCGCCAATTCACATCATGTCATCTCAGGTCACTTTCCAGTTCAACCAGATCATCCAGTCAGATTGATTCAAAGTTTTCTATCTAAGGAAAACCAGCTGATTGCATCGACTCATTGAGTCAGAGGTGAGTATTATTATGAAAGTTCGCTAAATGGGAATAATTTCACTTTATTTTTTTATGGTAAAATGTTTCAGACAGACAGACTGAGGAATCTTGTTTCTATACATACTTTTTCTACTCGTCATCTTCTGTTTATCCAAGACCGCAGCAGATGGCAGGATTCCTAAACCTTCCCAAATCTTCCCAGACCTCCCACAAACTTCCCAAACGTTCCCAAACTTTCCAAAACCTTCCCAGACCTTCCAAAACTTTTCCAAACATTTCAAAACCTCCCCAGATCTTCCAAAACTTCCCAAAACCTTCCCAAACCTCCGTAACCTTCCTCAACATTCCCAGACCTTCCAAAACCTTCCGGACCTTCCCAAATTCTCCAAAACCTTCCCAACCCTTCCTAGGCCTTCCAAAACCTTCCCAAACTTTCCAAAACCTTCCCATGCCTTCCAAAACTTTCCCAGACCTAAACATTCCAAACCCTCCCAGACCTTCCTAAAGCTTCCAACACCTTCCCAAATCTTCTGAAACTTTTAGAAACCTTCCCAAATCTTCCCAGGACCTCCAAAACTTTCCCGGACCGTTCCAAACCTTCCTGGTCTTTCCCAAATATTCCAAAACCTTCCCAGATCTTCCCAAACTCTCCTAAACCTTCCCAAACCTTCCCAGACCTCCCTTAACATTTCTAAACATTCCAGCCATGGTTCTGTCCTGGTTCTGACTCCAGCCACGGTTCTGACTCCAGCCATGGTTCTGTCCTGGTTCTGACTCCAGCCACGGTTCTGACTCCAGCCATGGTTCTGTCCTGGTTCTGACTCCAGCCACGGTTTTGACTCCAGCCATGGTTCTGTCCTGGTTCTGACTCCAGCCACGGTTCTGACTCCAGCCATGGTTCTGTACTGGTTCTGACTCCAGCCACGGTTCTGACTCCAGCCATGGTTCTGTCCTGGTTCTGACTCCAGCCACGGTTCTGACTCCAGCCATGGTTCTGTACTGGTTCTGACTCCAGCCATGGTTCTGTCCTGGTTCTGACTCCAGCCACGGTTCTGACTCCAGCAATGTTTCTGTACTGGTTCTGACTCCAGCCATGGTTCTGTCCTGGTTCTGACTCCAGCCACGGTTCTGACTCCAGCAATGGTTCTGTACTGGTTCTGACTCCAGCCATGGTTCTGTACTGGTTCTGACTGCAGCCATGGTTCTGACTCCAGCCACGGTTCTGACTCCAGCCATGGTTCTGTACTGGTTCTGACTCCAGCCACGGTTCTGACTCCAGCCATGGTTCTGTC